TTCATCCCTGTTTGTCGTTAGATGCGATTTACCTTTCGTCTGGCTTCTCGAAGATCTTACTCGCCCTCTTACGATTGTGATCCGTATATCATAAGCAGTGGTAGCCTTCTTGGTTCAGGAGATTCATGGACAGCAGATTGTGCTAACTATTCTGGCAACAATTCACAGTGCCATTCAGTTATCATAGGAAGCACTGGTTTTCGCTGTACAGACTACAGCAGCAGTGAGGATTGGTCAATGGGTGAAAACAACTTTACGCATACCTTCTCGTCGATCCACGACAAATGGATTGTAAGGTAAGTTTTTGCATTTTTAGAAACCAATTAATCCAATAAAACTGAAATGAAAAAAAAAATTCAAAAGGTGATGTTAAAAGCTTTAACCTAATACCACAATTTTCCACTTTTGTTTCGTTAACAGCTACACTAGCTGCTGTTGGATATCTTTATCTCGATATGGAGGTGGCAGTTGGCTTGTATCGACGACTGTTAACCTCACTAGACGGTCGGATAATGTCAGAATTAACTCTTCTCCTGTATCAAGAAGCCCTGCTATTGTCCGATGGCATGAAGGCTGCCCCCAGTCTCTACGAATTCCAGTAGAAGATGCGGACGGAGATGTGGTAAAGTGCCGATTAGCGACTTATCCAGAGTCCTACGTGTACAGCGACAGTTTTCCATATGGTAATCTCGACGAGGTAACCGTGCTGGTGATTTATGTGCTTGTTTTTCCGTTCTTTTTATGCAACAGAGAATTATTTACCCTAATGCGTAAAGTTAATGCTAATGCGTTAATTCAATAATGCTTAAAGTTACGGATCACAGTCATGACCGCCGGAATAGAAATACAAGGGGACACAGGAGGCTATGGAAAAAAATGAAGCCAAACGTAAACTTCAGTAGTTAATGGCGTACCTATTTCTAGCGATAGCCTCTACTATTGATGTCATTTTACAGATATTGTAAACGTCTTCCACATTTGGTCAACGCTATAGCTTAAGTTAAAAGGAATTAGCCGGGGAAATTCAGCCAATTTGCATGAATAATAATGGAATAACTTTCAATGGAAATTAAAAATCTTGATTTTAACTGATTAGAAATATCCATGCAGATAGCTCAGTGTTACATCCTACTTATTTTTCTCAACAGAAAAGCTGTTTGCTGACATATAATGGCACCAGTGGCACGACTGGTACTTACGCTGTAGCTCTGACCTTAGAGGACTTTCCAGCAGGAACTACAAATTTCGTCGGCGTTACTCCATTCAGTGCTGTGGGACTACAGTTTCTTGTCATAATAAGCAGCCGTTCTGGTTCTTGTAACAATGTTCCTGTATTTACTCCTTCATCACCTAACGATGGAGAATGCACCGAGGTGCAGATTGGTTCAGTGTACAGAGCTGTGATCGAGGTCACACTTGCAGACTTCTCCAAACAGTGAGAGTTTTTTTTTTGTTATAATAAGGGGTATGCTGCCAAGCAGTCCATACTTTTGCGCAGTCGGGAACGCACGGAAAGTCAAACGAAAGGACTAGAGCGAGGCTAAACTGAACGGAGAGTTATATTATGTAGCTAATTGTAAAATCATAACTATCAGTGTATTGGTGCGCAAACCGTGTGGGAACTACAGATATTATGACAAAATACTAAAATAAATAATTGAAGTCACTTCAATTTATTTATTTATTTTAGAACCTAAGGAAAAGGGCATATGAAATCACTTTATTTGTTTCTTAAATGATTCAACCATATTTTATATCAAGGCATTTTCACGAAAAGAAGCTAAGAACGCTGAAAACTTTGCGTGACCAAGACCTGCGCTTGGCGGCGCACTCGTTTGCGAATTAGGTTGGAGAAAATTTGGCAACCAAAGGTGAAGAACTTTACTTTCAAGATCTGCCAATATATAATGAACTAATATCTCCTCAGCAAAGGAGGGGGAAAAAACCGCCATCCACTAAGTCAATAAAGAGAACAAACTAGGTATTGATTCGCAGGCAGGCGGAAGGGAAGGTGGTGGAAAAGGCTGAAAATTGGTTCAAACAATCGATGTGAACAGCGTGATGGTGAGCGATCGAAAGGGACGAGCGCACGGAAAAGCACGCTTAAGAACGATACCGTCCCGAACGCCCTAAATTCTAATTGGCTGGAAAAAAGATAGGCTTGGAGCCTGCGGCCTTAGCCTGCAAACTATTATCTAAACAATGCCTTGCCATAAAATCCCATAATGATGCCGTCATAACGGTGTCTTTTATTTCAGCGTTGTTGAGATAGTGACTTCGTCTCCACCTGGAATGCAACTTACTTCTTTACGTTACAATGGAGGAGTCTATTACAGAAATGTCACTTGGTATCCCAGCCAATATCAAGTTGGACAGCAGCCGTTTTGCTTCAAAGCAGTTGACTCGTCAGGGTGAGATGACATATTTTTTGTTTTTAGTTTCTTAGGGCGTTATCCATTCACCAAAAACTTTCGAGATGAGGATCCATCGGATGAAGATTGTGTTCCATTTGAAAAATTTACCACGCAACTATTACAGATGAGCTAATAATTAGCGGGATACATTTTCGAATCAGTAAGTTTTTGAAAACCTCATTTTCAAAATGGCCGATTGCAAATGCCTGCAAAGACAGCTTTTTTGGGCGATAAAGTCAACAAACACTGCAGGTTATTGCTGAATACTTTCCGATTTAAATCGTTGCAATATACCCAGTTTGTCTAATTTATGACCTTTGGGTTGCTTATATCTTCTTTTCTTTCTTATCTAGCATGGGGAGTCAATGGAGGTGCATAACGATTCTCGTCGGTATAAGTAAGTAAACTCGTTAATCCTCGGAGTTATTGGAAAACGCTCACCTACAAAACAGGGTCAGTAAAGATGAAACCTCCCAGTTCGTTACTTTGTCTTTTGCAAGTCTTGTGTACAATTTATAACTTGTTCGTTGCGCGCGCTTCCGCGACGCTTATCAAATGTCCACCTTGTCGTTACATTGTGGCGCTTATTTGAGGACGGCGCAAATTTCCCACTTCCCGTTTGAGAATAACACAGATAAAGTCAGTACTTTTCTCTCTCATTTTTGCAAATGACAAGCAAATTCTATTTTGGCCCACAGGCAGTACCCCCCGCGTTATTTTGGGAAGTCAAACTCCTCAAACTCCTATCAGTACCAGCGGACCAGGCTATAACTGGTGGAGCATACAGTTTGATCGAGTGGTAAGAATAAAACGATTAAGCTTAGCAAATCATTTCACTTATATTCCTCTTTTTATAGCTGTTATCATCGGTTATTGTTGCTGTAATGTATTTTTTGCCTCTAAGTTTTACTTTAATCCCGAGTTTATCCCGACCGTTACCTTCTTTTTCTACTGGCTCTCCTACTGACGCGGACTCTTTTTTTACTTTTATGTTTTGTATTCTGAGTCACTCGCTCATCATCCGATCGTCATCATGCATATTGGCCTTTATTAAATATAGAGTAACTTTTAATTTAACAACATACTCTCTGGGAGCTTTTATCTCGCAAGTAATTCCGATCTGTCTCCCTAACTCTATAAGTCTATACTTGTTTCTTATTTCTTCTTTCCTCTCGACATCATCGTGTTCTCCCTGTAGACTTCAGATACTTATTTCGAATTGTTAATTTCTAGGAAGAAACTGAAGACAATCTTTGTCAAAATTTGAGGCAATATGATCTAACGTTTCTTTTCGCACACAGATAAAGAAGCCTCGCACTTCTTCCTACATACGGCTCGTTCTTCTTCCCAGTGGTCACACAGTTCATAAAGTGGACACACTCTCTCAGTTTGCCATAATCAACAGTGATCTTACCACCCTGTGGTTCGCAATGCCTTATGCTGCATTAAGTATGAACGGCTCGTACGCCATTTTGATGGATCGTGGTGCAGTGGTTGGACAAGGTTGTTCTTATGACGGACCACCCACACCAGGAATAACTAACCCAAGTGACTGGCAGTTCACTACTGGTGTTTGTCCCTTCGGCTATGCCCTTGCCCCACCAGACTTTACCACTTGTCTAGGTATGTAAAAGCAAAAAAAGTGAAATTGTAAGGCTAATAAGTCGGTTTTGAAACCAAAATTACATCTTTTTAACTAAATCCCCCTCAAGTTTCTCCATCTATGCCTTCGTGCTTTGTGTTTGCGGTATTTATTTACCGTAAAATGTTTATCATATTGAACCTACTAGTAGGTTCTTTTACCTGTACCTAAAAGATGGCTCAAGTTTAAGCCGAAACTCTTTTACATTAGTAAAAGTCTTCCTTTCTTCATCAACAATGTAAAGCAAAGCAAGAATAAGAAGTCTTTCTTTTCTTTCTTTCTTCCTTTTTTTTCGCTCTGTTACATGAAAATTTGAAAAGATTTCACCTTTAAAACTGATTTCTTACTATACGGACTGTAACGTGTTTAATACCTGCTTCCTCCTCGGGTGCGCGCTTCGTTTTTAGAAGTTTTAGTTTTCTACACTTTACTTAATTTTTTTTTTCAGACATCAACGAATGTGGTTCTCACTCCAGAGTGAAGCGTAGTATGCAAGGTGAGATAAACGGTGATTAAAACCTTTAAACTCACTTTCCAACTATACTCTCGTTTCTTGTTCTTTGCTCTGAAACGGCACGGAACTGAACGTTTGCTCCACAGGCTAGATGGGTAACCTACTACGATGACGTCAGCGTGAAAATGCTCTTTTCATGTGCACGAAATGTACGGTAAAATGTACGCATGACATGTCTTTGGTTTTAAGAGGCAAGTGGTAAGTGTACAAGGATTTAAAAAAAAACAACTTCTTTGGGATCGATAACTATAAAGGAGCTTGTACAGCTCTAAAATCAATTTGGGGGCTTGGTCGAAATTGCCATTCTGAATCAAATTGTGGGATTACTGATTGTCTCATTTTATACAAGCTGTTTTAGACAGAAGACCTCAAGTCATATTTTGTATGCTAAATCAAGAGTTCTTTCTAACGCAGTTCCTCAATCGACCTTTCAGGACTGAGACTTGTTGGAGGGAGCTGGAACGGAGAGGGAAGAGTTGAAATTTTTTACAACGGCAACTGGGGAACTGTGTGTGATGACAGCTGGGATTTAGACGATGCAAGAGTCATATGTCGTGAACTTGGATACTCCGGTGCTGTTAGTGCTCATAGTTCTGCACACTTTGGTTCCGGAAGCGGTCAAATTTGGTTGGATGATGTCAACTGTTTGGGAAGTGAAACTTCCATTGTAAATTGCCCGCATGGTGGTTGGGGCTCACATAACTGCGGTCACCATGAAGATGCATCTGTCGTTTGTTCAAGTAAGTAGTGATCGCAAACACGTCTCTGTTTAGTCTGGTTTTCATGCACTATTGATGCAAGTTTAGCTTTTTATAACGGTTCCTATTACCTCGTGTAAAGGGTCTTTACCGTGTTACTAGCCGAGCTAAGAATTTTTCTTTTCCAGCGCTTGCATGTGGTTTGCGCCTATAGCGGCGAGAAACGAGGAAAGGCGGCGGTTGTCACAGGGTATGGTTGCCAACGTTTTGTTTTGGTTGAAGGTGTTTCGATATAGATTTTCAGAGGCCATACCGATATTTTTCAATCGCTTGAAAAGTGATTTTATCCTCAGTGTCTGATCGCTATAAAATTTTCACTAATGATTGACTATAGATTGATTTTTGTCAAAATGTAGGTTTTAGTAAAATCGATATTACTATCAATGATAACGTTAAACAAAAAACTTTGAAATTGATAAACGCCTAATTTTGTGCGATCTAGACCGGCTACTGAAAATCCAACACTAGGAACTTTAAAAATTTTGGTGTTCAGCAAATAACCTCCTTAAGAACTAAACAATTCTGTGTACGTTTGAATTCGACTAAAACGAAAGTATATTTTAAACCTTAAATTTTCAATATCCGTGATAGATTATTTAACAAAAACGTTATAAATGACTCAAATTGCTCTTACGTAGCGTCAGAATGCTGCTTGATATCATATTTCGATGCTAGGAAATTTTGGTGTATTTTCGTTCTTGTGATCTTAACAACTAAGGCTGCATGCAAACGGACGCAACAACTCCCAACATTGTTGCGCCAACAATGTTGGGAGCTGTTGCGTTCGTGTTGGCAGTGGTGTGCAAACGGATACAACAACTCCCAGCATTGTTGGGACCTATAGTGCATCCTGGGAAGGATACAACCCATAAGTCTTTGTAAACCATGTGTAATAATGAGTGTTCGTGGCCCCAACAATGTTGGAAGAGCTGTGCAACCGGATCCATTTTGTTGCGCTACGCTTCGGCGATCACGGAACAAAAGAAATGTTGGGAGTTGTTGGCTGAAAAGTTTGACCGGTTTCAAACTTAGCGCAACAACATGCAACAGGGTGCGTAAAAGGACGCAACATGTAACATCCAACAATGTTGGGAGTTGTTGGTCAACAATTTTTGCGTCCGTTTCCACGCAGCCTAAAGCGTCTTTTAACCACCTGTTGAAGTGCAACTTCATTCAAAATTTGGACTTTTAGCGCTTTTTTGTACATCTCTGAAACGACTGGAACGAATTTTTAAAAATCTTTTCACATAATCTTCAAAATGTATATTATAATGTCTAAAACTTTCATTAAGATTGATCCACTGCAACTCCTTGAAATTTCAAGACAAACCTATCCTACGAACCGGTCAGAAATCCGCGTTGCAACATTTACTTTTTGACGTTATGCTAATTTTTCCAAATAAATGCGGACAATACATACATCCATGACTAGTACATTTCAGTGTGAGTATTGTCAATGTTTTACATTCAAAACATGCGATAAATTCAAACTAAAATGTACTAGTCATGGAGGTATGTATTGTGCGCATTATTTTGGAAAAATTAGCATAACGTCAAAACAGTGAATGATGTAACGCAGATTTTTGACAGGTACGTAGGGCAGGTTTGTCTTGAAATTTTAAGATGGTGCAGTGAATCAATCTCAATGAAAGTTTCAGAGTGACCTTGTTATATACATTATGAAGATTATGTGAAGAGATTTTAGAAAAATTCGTTCGAGTCGTTTCAGTGATATACAAAAACGCGTAAAAGTCCAAATTTTGAATGAAGTTGCACTTATACAGGTGGTGAGAAAACGAGTTAGCTTTCAAGATCGCAAGAACAAAAACTCACCAAAATTTCCAAACATCAAAATATGATATTAAGCAGCATTCTGACGCTACTTAAGAGTAATTTGAGTCATTCGGTAGTTGGTCAAGATCATACAAAATTCGGCTTTTATCAATTTGAAAGATTTTTGTTTATTGTTGTCATTGAAAGTAATATCGATGTTACTTAAAACTGCATTTACACAAATTTTTAACCCATAGCCAATTACTGGTGAAAATTTTATAGCGATCGGACAAGAGAAAAACCACTTTTAAGGCGATTGAAAAATGTCGGTATGGCCTCTGAACAACTGTATCGAAATATATACGTGAAGACAGAATTAACTTACATGTACGGCTGTTCTCACAAATACAACATCTATGCGTTAACATACGTGTCCAGATTGTTTTAAAATGCGTTTAAATCGTTCTCGCGAAAACGGAGTATTTTAAGGACTCATTAGTTGGCAAGCATGTACTGAAAACCTTAAGAAAGGTAGTGGCAAATTCAGGGAAAGGAAATTATACCATGTTTCGTAGCGGTGTAAGGCTGAATCAATCAAACCTTGATCCATTCATTTTCTTACCTTGTTAAAAACAAAAGGTCATTTCTCATTAATCTTATCATTACTCGTTTCCCACACAGAATTTTTACCTTTTTAACATGACAAAAAAGATATGTTTAAGAAAATGTTGGCGCCACCGACACATTTAGGCTGCCCGTCCATAACGCTCACGCCTTTCTTAAAGATCATAAATACTTAAATTGTTGCACTGTAAGACTTAAGATCCTGAAAACCATAACTTATTCGTTCAGCGGCACACACCCCTCAATAGGTAGCCCTTGATAATAATAGGCCTATCTTCGACTTTAGCTGACGTTTCAGGACTGAGACTTGTTGGAGGAAGCTGGAACGGAGAGGGAAGAGTTGAAATTTTGTACAATGGCAACTGGGGAACTGTGTGTGATGACAGCTGGGATTTAGACGATGCAAGAGTCATATGTCGTGAACTTGGATACTCCGGTGCTGTTAGTGCTCATAGTTCTGCACACTTTGGTTCCGGAAGCGGTCAAATNACAAAAACTCACCAAAATTTCCAAACATCAAAATATGATATTAAGCAGCATTCTGACGCTACTTAAGAGTAATTTGAGTCATTCGGTAGTTGGTCAAGATCATACAAAATTCGGCTTTTATCAATTTGAAAGATTTTTGTTTATTGTTGTCATTGAAAGTAATATCGATGTTACTTAAAACTGCATTTACACAAATTTTTAACCCATAGCCAATTACTGGTGAAAATTTTATAGCGATCGGACAAGAGAAAAACCACTTTTAAGGCGATTGAAAAATGTCGGTATGGCCTCTGAACAACTGTATCGAAATATATACGTGAAGACAGAATTAACTTACATGTACGGCTGTTCTCACAAATACAACATCTATGCGTTAACATACGTGTCCAGATTGTTTTAAAATGCGTTTAAATCGTTCTCGCGAAAACGGAGTATTTTAAGGACTCATTAGTTGGCAAGCATGTACTAAAAACCTTAAGAAAGGTAGTGGCAAATTCAGGGAAAGGAAATTATACCATGTTTCGTAGCGGTGTAAGGCTGAATCAATCAAACCTTGATCCATTCATTTTCTTACCTTGTTAAAAACAAAAGGTCATTTCTCATTAATCTTATCATTACTCGTTTCCCACACAGAATTTTTACCTTTTTAACATGACAAAAAAGATATGTTTAAGAAAATGTTGGCGCCACCGACACATTTAGGCTGCCCGTCCATAACGCTCACGCCTTTCTTAAAGATCATAAATACTTAAATTGTTGCACTGTAAGACTTAAGATCCTGAAAACCATAACTTATTCGTTCAGCGGCACACACCCCTCAATAGGTAGCCCTTGATAATAATAGGCCTATCTTCGACTTTAGCTGACGTTTCAGGACTGAGACTTGTTGGAGGAAGCTGGAACGGAGAGGGAAGAGTTGAAATTTTGTACAATGGCAACTGGGGAACTGTGTGTGATGACAGCTGGGATTTAGACGATGCAAGAGTCATATGTCGTGAACTTGGATACTCCGGTGCTGTTAGTGCTCATAGTTCTGCACACTTTGGTTCCGGAAGCGGTCAAATTTGGTTGGATGATGTCAACTGTTTGGGAAGTGAAACTTCCATTGTAAATTGCCCGCATGGTGGTTGGGGCTCACATAACTGCGGTCACCATGAAGATGCATCTGTCGTTTGTTCAAGTAAGTTACATGTAATACGATCCAAACACGTTGCTTATAATTTCCTACTCACTTTATGGTTAATTTATTAAGGTTCGTTTTGGACATTGGTAAGTTCTTCTTGTCTTCTAGTTATTTCAGGTTCTAAAATAATCGAGATTAAATTTGACAATTGGTTATAATTATAAACTGTAAAGTTGAGAGGAAAATCATCTTCAATAGTCCATACAGATTATATAAATCTCTTGATAAAGTTCATTTAGCGGTTAACCGCCGTATGAAAACGTGTCTAGTTCTGTTGTCGACGAAGTCTTCAAACATAAATGAAGAAAAAATTTCCCAGATACTTTGCCATTCAGTCACAGTTGAAGCTTGGGAGTTATATACTCAACGCTTCATGCATTATCTAGAGTTTTACGGGCCTTCCACTTGCAAACTCTGAAGGTTCTTGTACTTCTAGCTAGATCGTCAACGGTTAAGTAAAGGTACTGGAAGTGATTTAAGGTGCGTCAAAACTGTATTTGAATTGAAAAATCAATTACAGTGGATTGTCATTATATGAGGGACAATACTAAATACGACCACGTCAAAATGTTCATACGACCATTTTCCCTTACTCTTTGTTTGTTTCTCTGCTAATTTTCTTTAGCGGCAGGCATTTCAGCGAGTGTATCGCCATCAATCAGTACAACTGGAGTGTCGGGTAACTCTTAAAATTTCTCCATCGGTTTCCACATCTGAAACAAAGTTCTCAGATTACATCGAGACAGTCATTTTAAGAATTAGAATATCAAACCTTTAATTAAAAACTGCCCTGAAAACCATAACTTATTCGTTCAGCGGCACACACCCTTCATTTGGTAGCCCTTGATAATAATAGGCCTATCTTCGACTTTAGCTGACCTTTCCGGACTGAGACTTGTTGGAGGAAACTGGAACGGAGAG